GTAGTGTATTCCATCGTAGTCCTGACTGGTATCTTGTGGATGATGGTGGGTAGACAATGGGAGTCGGGAATTGAGTTATTCGCTGCAGGATTCTGAGCCTCTGACAATTTTTTGTAGTTACAGTATTGATGTAGTTTATACAATTCAGTTTGGGTCATTGGTGGTTCCCAAGATGTTGATTAATGGGGGATTCAGCAATGGTAATGCTATTTGGTGTCAAGGGGCTATGGTTATGTGTCCCCCTTGGAAGATAGTTATTGCCTTGCACTTGTGTGGCACGAATGTTATTCTCAGCAGATGCCTGGATATTGTCCTGATCTTGCTGCATTTGGACATAGACTACTTCAGTATCTGAGGAGTTAGGAATGGTGCTGAGCATTGTGTAATCATAAGTGAATCTCCACACCTCTGACTTTATGATGGCGGGAGGTTCGTTGATGAAACTGCTGAAAGTAGTTGGGCCTAGGACACTCCTTGGGCATTCTCCAGTTTGTTCATATCCTTCCTGAAGTGTGACTACTGAAACTGTACATAGTACTCCAATTGAGGTGTAGCTAGTGAATTATACAAGTTCAGCACAATCATTCTGTTTGTCCTCTTGATGTTTAATACTAGAATACTGTATGTTTTATTACATTTTCTGTCTACCTCACCTGCTACCTTTAATAACCTTTGTAACAAAATTAATCACTTCACACTTTTCTGCATTAAGCTTTATCTGCTACTTATCCACCCACTCCAACAACTTGTTAACGTCCTGTTGTGATTATGCACTGCCCTCCTTACAGTTTGCAATTCTCCCAAATTTTGTATCAGCTGCACACTTTGAAATTGTTCCCTGCACGCCAAGATCTGGATCATTAATTTGCCAGATAAAGCAAGGAATTTAATACTAACCCCTGGGGAATTAATCCAATTCAGATTCTGGTCGCTGGTAGTCCCCAGGATGTTGTTAGACTGCAAATCTTCCTCCAGCCCAAAAGAATCCCCGTTAACCATTGTGCTCTGCTTCCTATCCATCAACTGATTTGTTACCAGCATGTTACGGTCCCTTCTATTCTCTGACCTGTAACTTTACTCTCAAGTCTATCATGTGAGTTTATATTGAATGTTTTTTGGAAGTCCATGTACACCACTTTGACAACATTTCCTTCATCAGCCCTCTCTGTTACCTCTTCAAAATAAACCAGCAAGTTAGTTAGACATAATTTCGCCCTTTCAAACCCATACTGGTTCTTATGAATTAATCCACATTTTTCCACAAGACTATTAATCCTATCCCATATAATGTCTTTGAAAGTTTCCCCACACCCAAAGTTTAACTTTAAGTTTATCTTTATAACTTTTTTTGTGACCAAGGATGTAACGTTTGTTGTTCTCTGGCTCCACACTGGAGTCCATGCAAATTTGAAAGATTGTTTTCAGTACCTCTGCAATTTCCACTTTTGCTTCCTTCAGTACCCTTGGATGCAACTCATCTGCTCCTGGTGTCCTACAAACTTTAAATATTGACAACTGGCCCAATGCCACCTTCCTGTCAATTTTAAAACTTCTGTGTGATTGACTTCCCTCCTCTTTCTGGGCAGCATCTGCCTCAAAAGCGAAGACAGATGCAGAGTATTCGTTTACTATCTCAGCACCCCCCCATGCCTTTGACACCATGTATAAATCTGCAATTTGGTTCTGAATTGACTCCCCTCCTCCTTTTACCACTCGTTTACTATTGATGTGCCTGTCGATGACTGACTGTGGGATTTCCCATTATGTTAGCAGCCAATCTTTTTTCATATTCCCTCATTGCTTCTCTTACTTAATTTTACTCAACCCTTCTGAACATTCAGTATTTAGCTTGATTCTCAATTGCATTTTCTACCTGACACCTGGCATATGGACATTATCTCTTTATTTTAATTTAAATCCCCTTTATCATTCAGGAAGCTGTTGATTTGTTTGCCCTATTTTCCCTTTTGAGGGAATCTGCCTTGACTGTGCCTGATCCATCTTCCCTTTGAACGTAACCCATTTTTCAGCTCCTGTCTTTCTTGTCTGCCCTTGGTTTCATCCTGTCTGGCTGTGTTCTTGCCCCATTGAAATGGTTAATTAATCTTACTTGGGATTGTTCATTGTTCTTCTTCACCAACATTCTGAACCTGACAGTATAATGATCACTATCCATTAACAGTTTCCCCACTGATACTTGATCTAATTGGCCCACTTCATTGCTAAGAACCAGGCCTAGTAGTGCCTCCTTTTAATAATTGGACTGGAGTCACACTGCTGTGTGACGACTCTGGGAAGAGCAGGGCTTGATTTCCTGTACTACCCCAGTGATACATGTCTGATTTGATTTGATGTGATTTATTATTGTCACCTGTACCTAGGTACAGTGAAAAGTTTTGGCTTGTGTGCAGTACAGGCAGATCATACCATGCAAAGTGCATTAGTGTAATAGAACAGAGTGAAAGTTACGGCTGCAGAGAAGGTACGTAGAAGGTGAGATCAATATTAAGTTTAAAATTTGAGTGACCCATTCAGAAGTCTAACGACAGTGGAGAAGAAGCTGTTCTTGAATCTGTTGGTACATGTTTTCAAGTTTTTGTATCTTCTGCCCAATGGAAAAGGGTGGAAGAGACGATAACTGGGGTGGGAGGGGTAATTGATTATGTTGATCGCTTTCCCAAGGCAGCAGGATGTGTCGATGGAGTCAGTGAATGGAAGGTTGGTTTTCGCAATGGACTGGGCTGTGTTCACAACTCTGTAGTTTCTTGTGGTCTTGGGAAGAGCGGTTGCCAAAACATGCTGTGATTCATTCAGATAGAATGCTTTCTATGGTGCATCTATAAAAATTGGTAAGAGTCCTTGTGGACAGGCTGAATTTCCTTAGCCTCCTGAAAAAGTAGAGACATCGTTGTACTTTCTTGACCATTACGTCGACATGGTTGGACCAGGACAGATTGTTGGCAATCATCACTGCCAGGAACTTGACACTCTCAACCATCTCCACCTCAACACCATTGATGCAGACAAGGGCGTGTCCTCCACTCCACTTCATGAAGTCCATGACCAGCTCCTTCATTTTGCTAACATTGATGGAGAGATTGTTGTCTTTACCCCTTGTCTTCAAACTGTTGAATTTATGGGTGTCTGCAGTTAAGCTTTTTAAAAATTGTTTGGAGTCCATTTGGTGTGTAACTTGTTGAGTCAACTCATCCTCTTCCACTTCTTTTGAAAATCTGAGAATCTGGTGTGATAGCTGAAAAACTGCTTTTTTTCCTGAGAAGCTTCTGGAATACCTTCTTTTAACAGCACCTGAATGAACTGCTTCTGAAAAGATCCCAGTGACAGCTGCGTGTGGCTAAAATTGTTAGTCAGGCTCACAGTATGGTGCATTTGTGTGTACTGGAGGCTGTGTATAATTAATACAGACAGAAAAAATTGTGTGCACACTGCTCTGCTTTCAACTCAACAAACAGGTGACAGCCTGAAATTTATTTCTCATGGCAATGCCTTAGTTAGTAAAGGTCAACCTACCTGGTTTAATATTTAACAATGTTTGGCAGTTAACACCTATTTGGTGAATTCTTCATGGCAGTGGTCTCTATACCTTGTAGACTGACCAAATCTATTTGCCATGTCTACGAAGTGCAAGATGAGAATTTTTTTCTCTTAACCTTGTAGCTTAAAGCTCATTGCTATAACTTTGTTGAAGTCTCTTGATGGTGTCCCTCTGTATTCCCATATGTATCCCATTTATTGATGATTTCTTCTCAAAGTTTAGTATTCTTATCATTCCTAACTCCTGCACCTGTTGTGTGATTTTTAGCCTGGGTGAAGATGCATGAGCTGCCAATATAATTTTAAGACAATTAGCCTCTTTTTCCTTTAAAGCCCAGTTTCCCAATGCCAGCAACACCTGCTTAGTATTTTGATTTGTGATCTTAAGTCACATGAAAGGAATACAGTAAGTCTGGATTGTATAAACTGTAAATCGCTGTCCAGAAATGGTGACTTTAGAAAAAGTACTTACTATGTTTTAGTAAATTCTGATATTATTGAGGTTGTTAGTTTCCTTCCTGTTTGTCCGATGTAGTGTTTCTCGCAGTCTCTGCAGGGGATCTTGTAGATGACATTGGTCCTGTCCATGGTGGGGAGTGGGTCTTTAGTTCGGGTGAGCGGTTGATGTGGGCTTGTGTGCCACTCTGATGCCCAGCGGTCGTAGGAGTCTTGTGGTGAGTTCTGACGTGTTCCTGATGCAGGGTAGTGTGATGAGTGTGTTGTGGCGTGTAGAATCTTTCTGATGCTGTTCATGTAGGCATCTCCTGACCCAGGAAACTAACAACAAGAGTATATGAACACCAACTGGCTACAAAAAGACATGACCAATACTCACTCATCTCAATCCACATGGACAAGGAGAGCCACGACTTCGACTGGGACAACGCCAAGATCCTGGGACAGGCTAGGCAGAGACAAGCACGGGAATTCCTGGAAGCATGGCACTCCACGAAGCATGCTATTAATAAACACATTGAACTCAACCCCATATACATTCCACTACGGAGGAAACCCGGAAGTGAGGCAATCCATCACAACGGACCCCAGAGTTTAAAAACCAGGTGGGAAAACACACCGATGCTTCATCAGAGGCTGCACTGAGGATGTTACCAAGCACGGTAATGAAACGTCTGCGGAACAACAAACCAGCTCGGCGAGCCAACCAACCTCAACACCCACAACCCGAGCTACAGATCTACTCCAAAACCTTAGATTCTGATATTATCTTTTCTATATGTACAGTTTATTAATGCCTGTAGTCATGAACTGGCTGTTAATTAAACTCTAATCTGAAAGTTGAGCCATAGATATTCTGGAAAAGAAAACACTTCAGTGCGAAGTTAGCAGAAGTAACTACTGGAGACATGTCTGGAACATGGCTAATAGACAGGTTGATCAAACTGTACTAATGTGAGAAAAATTATTAAAATAATTTTATGTTACAGGTGGTTATTCCGAGAAGTCCTATCCAAGCCAAGGGATTATTAATATCATGCATCGAAGACAAAAATCCATGTATCTTCTTTGAACCTAAAATTCTGTATAGAGCTGCTGGTAAGTTTCCAAGAGTGCTGTTTTCTATGTTTCTAGTACAGGATTACCAGAAACTACGCTTACTAATTTTGTTGGAATAAATGCAGCTATATATAAAGGTCAGAAATTCAGTGTTCTAATTTATTGGAAAATACAGATATATTTGGCAGAGTTCAAAACCAGACATTCATTTATGCTGGAGGTCAAATAAGGCATTCCTTTTTGTCATCTTTTTTGGTGTTTATGTTAGCTTTCTGCTTTTAATTCAACTAAGTCCACTAATATTATGGTATACTTCTAAAAGCCTGTTGTTATTTTAACGAAGAAAATCATTTTTGATGCTTTTTTAATATGTTGAGTAAGATTTGAAATCATTCCATGTTGTTTAAGTGTTACACTGAAAGAGAAAGATGTGTTAAGTGAGGAAGAATAATCAAGTAAAACAAAGCCTTGAATTCAAAAATCACAGTTTACAGATTTCAGGAACAATGAAACTAGAAGTGCACAGTTGGCACCCAAAATTGTTTAGAAGATAAATTCACAGCAGTGGAGATTTTTAATGTGCATTGGTAATTGGCTGAGTGGTAGAAAGCAGCACAAGGATAGGGGAGTCGATACAGTATGGAGCTGGAGGAACACAGCAGGTCAGGCAGCATCAGAGGACCAGGAATGCCGACGTTTCTGGTCGAGACCTTTCATCAGGACGGATAGAGGATGCATTTTCTGATTACTGGGATGTGACAGCCAATGGTTTTACACCAACCTGTACTTAGTTGTTTCTGATGTGTTAATACTTGAAAGAAGTATTAGAATTGTGTCACCTGCAAATTTGAATGTACAAATTGAGAAGATACAGCAAGTCCTGTATATTGGAATAGGATGTTATAAAGGGGCATAAATAGATGACGTGTGCGGGCAAAACTATGGAAGATGACATTCAATATGGGTTTATGAGATCATCTACTTTGAATTTGATAAAGACTGATTTTCACATGAACAAACGTATTTAAAGCATACATGTGCATAGATCACTGACATCTAGTACACAGATTCAAAAAGTAGCCAAAAAGTGTAAGTGTGTGTGTGTGTCTGCAGCCAGAATGTAGCATGGATGGACAACAGAAGTGAAATGGTACTTGCGTTATATAGAGCCTTGGTCGGGCTTAATCTGAAGTACTGCTTTTAGTTTTAAGGACCAATTGTCATCAAGGAGGATATGTCCTTTTTTATTTAACCTGTTTTCGTAATCAACCTGTTCAGGGATGTTATTGCATACATCTGGAACAGGTGAGACTCGAACCCTGGTCTCTTGGTTCAGGGGTAGGGACACTACCACTGTGGCACAAGAGGGCCGCTGGATATGTCCTTGAAAAGGTTATGGCTTGGAATCACTTGAATGATTCTAGGCCTTTAAGTGTTAAATTACGAGGAGACCCTGCATAAATATGGTGTTTTAAACGTTGAGTGGAAATCTAATTGAGGTATTTAAGAAAGATTGTAATTCAGTAGGAGTGCTGGAGAGAGCCTCTAAGCTTTGTTGGGGGAATTGTGAGCAAGTGGCATAATCTTAAAATTAAAACTGAGCCATTTGGAGTAAAGCTGGGAATCATTTTTCACCAAAAGGATATGATGGAAATTTGAAGAAATTTCATCAAAAAGTGTATGCTAGGTCAATTAATATTTTCAGGACTAGAAAAAGACTTCTATTATGTAGTATCTTTCATTAGAACTGGATGTTCCAAAGTGCTTTGCAATCAATTAAGTAATTTTGAACCATTTCCACTGTTGTGATGTAAGAAAAAGCAACAGCCATTTTCAAACTTGCACAAACAGCAATATGATAATGAAATAATCTGTTTTGTGATGTTTACTGATAAATATTGACAGAAAAAGGACAGTAGGGGTAACTGTCCTCTTTGAAACTGCGTAAGCAGATCTTTTATATCCATCTGAGAGGGAAGATGGTACCTCCGTTGTAAAGTCTGCCACCTCTGACAGCACTCTGTAGTTACTTGAATGCTGCCCTTGATCTTTCTGCTCTAGTCCTGGGTTGGGATTGATAAATATTTGGATAAGAGTATTAAAGGATAAGGCACATATCAGCCGTGATCTTAAAAAAAAGACTTCGGTTGAACACTACTTCAGTTCTGAAGAAGAGCCACTGGACTTGAAACGTTAACTCTGCTTTCTGTCCACAGATGCTGCCAGACCTGCTCAGTTTCTCCAGCAATTTTCTGTTTTGTATTAAGACAGATGTATTTGAGTACATGCATTTATGCACATGTGTATGTGTGTACGCTTGCATGCACATGTATGAGGATTTGTATGGCTTGATGCGCGCACGTGCGTATATGGAGATAAATGTGTACGTAAATGCAGAAACACACATAACCGTTCTTCAGGATTTGAGTAATGCTGCCAAAACTGCATATGCACTAGCAGTGGTGACACTTCTTGAACCTCTACAGTCCTTGTGTGATTGCTGTCACAATGGTGTGACATATGAAATTCAAGCAACACTAAAGGAACAGCAATGTATGTCCATTTAAGGTTTCTGTTTCTTAGGAGGGAACTTAGCATGGACCATGGAGGCATTGATCCTTTTGTGACTTGAACATGATGTATACGCGATTCAGATGTTGTGGTTGGTCCTTGAGAATGAATTGGAGAATCTAAGAAGCTATTGGCTGCACTATGTTGTGGTACGGTTTCGACTAGAAGCATTTCAGCATTCTAAATTGGTTATTACAGGACAGATTAAAAATGATGATTTTTTGGAAATTGAGGAAGATGATTTATATAACAACTGGTATAATGTTAAGAGATGATTTTGGTGGAACTGTGAATGTGCCGGCATTTCAGAATATTTAATGTCCAGGCTACCGTGGAATCTGTTCCAACTCGGTGTGAAATAAAAGCTGCTACTGATGGGTTGGTTACTGTTGTGACTGAGTAAGTATTTTCCTTAGCTTTAGCAGTTACAATTCTGAAGTGGTACATTCTGTTCCTCTGACTCATATAAATTTAAGTTTTATAGATCTGCAGGAACCATGCCAGTTCTCACCACAGGGCTTTAAAATACATGAAGAGTCTCAATTTTTTGGTAGTTGAACTATTTTGGTTGGTCTAAGCCTACAGACTGACCTGATGCTAATTGGTTTCAGACTCTAATTTGCAAGGTCTCTTCATAGAAGCATAATATTCTGAGTGTGACTTATGTAAACTAATAGGTGGGATCACTAAGTGCAAAGTACATACATTGCCATATATTTACAATTGATAACATATTAATTGATTTCAATATTATCATTTAAAATGTTAATGGGCTGGGTTATCACAGTATCTTCAGTAGAATCCTACAAAAAATATTCAGTAAAATAATAGCTCATTATTTTTCTACATGGAGTAGGATGCTTCTGTAAAAACTAAAGGCTCTCTATCCTTTTATGTGCATATAAACAAGGTAAAAAGAAGTAATGCTCAAATATAACAATCAAGTAACCTGTGCCTGTTTATTATCAGAAGAATGTTTACTATAAAATTAATTTTTTTTTAACAGCCAACCAGTTTGAGTTTTCATGAGACAAAATGAAATATTATAATGGAATAGGTGCATATTTACACTAGCAATATAGGAATTTAATATCTGCTTTCTGTAAGGGCTGATTTTCGGGAGCTATGGAGGAAGTTAAAGAGTAGCAATTCAAGAATTGTAATCTCTCTGAATTACTCCTAGTGTCATGCACAATCAGAGTAGAAATAGGAAGGTAGAGAGGGTTAGCACATACCTGGAAATATGGTGCAGGAGTGAGTCATTCAGATTCTTAGGGGATTGGGATCATTCTGGAACAAAAAAAACCTATTCAAAAAGGCAAGGTTCTACTCAACAGGACTGGGTGCAATGCTGTCAAGGAATGGTTTGCTAGTGTGATTGGAGTGTGTTTAAACTAATTTGTCAGATGGTGGACACCAGTAATTTTCTTTTAGTCAGTCATGGATGCAGGCATTACTGGGTAGACCAGTATTTATTTCCCATCCCAATTTGTCCTTGAGAAGATGATAGTGAGCCACCTTCTTGAACCACATATCTTTGGAGCATTGTTATATTGATAGTGCTGTTAAGAAGGGAGCTTCATGAATTTGACTCAGCATCAAAAATACACTTGTTTTTATGCGAGTAGAAAAGTATAAGGTATGTGATCAATTGAAAGTGTTGGTTAAATTTAGAGAAAGAAGTAGCACCATCTTAGGTGCAGATTGAGAGGGCTATGAGAAATGCAGAGACCATTAGTAATATATTCATTTAGTCGCAGAAAAAGTGGTGAATATGTTTGGTGGGCTAAAAGCACAAATAACAAAGTAAGAATATTGTTACGACGCTGAGACGGACAGACAAACCAAGTCAGTTTTTCTGCCTCTGATTTGACATTATGGTAAAATTAAACCTTTGAAGACCCTCAATAGTTATTCCAGTGGTTCCTAGCCAGACTTTTGAGTAACTAATCGTCGTGGAAAATGATTAATTCTGGACACCAGTTTTATATCTGGAACAAAATACTTATTATTAAATATACAATAACTTCAGAGGAAAAGTTAAACAAGGTAATCTATTTAATGTCCATGCTTTAAGCCCAAAGCATTTATTTACGGTCTCCCCCCACCACCATTCACAGTAAAGCCAGACAAACAAATAAGCACAGTTAAGGGATAAATAAAGGAGCATAATAAAATTGATCAGATTACTGGTTTTCACAGTGCATTGTTTCACAGGCAAGGATGTGGACTCCTTGGTTCCTTTTCTGGAGACATCGATCAGAGTCACCTTTTAGTTCACTCATATACAGGTGGCAATACTTATAACTCTGCTTTCTAGTCTTTGGGCGTCCAAAAGATGGTAAGGGAGATTAAGCAGTAAGCTTTCAAATCTTCATGCTGTCTCGTCGGCAGCCACACTCTGCTTCCAGAAAACACAGTTCAACAGAACAACTTCAACTCTGGTCCCACCCTGATAGATAGACCGT